AGATAGACACCTAGCCAGGGTTGTTTGACCCCAATACTCTTTCCTGACCATGGCAGGGGGTTGGACTTGATGATTTGCTCAGGTCCCTTCCAACCCTGCCTACTATGAAACTATGATTGTAGTCACTTTACCTAACTAGCAGTCAGCAAAGTTTGCACCTATATAACCGAGGGGAGAATTTCTTCTATATCGTACACACGGCTAATGCCCCAGATATGGGCTCAAGGCTTCATCATACTGCAGTCAATGGAAAGACTTGTTAACTTTAGTGGGTCTTGGATTGGGTTGTCAGTCTGAATTGTTTCAGCCTGAACTGGTCTAGAAACTTAGTGGAAAGCTCCACCTTGGTCAAGACTGAAACAGCTCTAACAGCCATCTGCCAATGGTACACCACCACCATTTTGAAATGTCCCTGAATCTGTTCCTTCTGGAAGAGGTGTCAGGAATTGGGTAGTACCTGCCCTGTGGGTGGCACAGGTGAGCTGTGTTAGAAGGGCACCAGGATAAACATGGAGCCAGATGGCCGCAGTCCGGAGCACAAGCCCCCATGGCTAGTGGGGGCATATTTTACTATCTCAGCTTAGACCAGTGCAGTCACCCAGGTTTATTCAGGAATGGGCCAGGTTAGCACAGTCAAAGCCAATAACATGAGAGGGGTATTGAGTAGCAAGTCAAGTTTGTATTCCCTGGGAGGAAAACGTTCCATTGGTGTTGTAGTGCAAATCGATACGCTGACATAATGGCTTTCCTACAGCGATTAGCTACTTCATTTATCTGTGATCCAAACGTGATTAAACACTATCTGTTTATGGAATTGCCATAGCATCTGCAGGCTGTAGAATTATCCTAAATTCCATCTAAAAGAGCCCAGCACAACTCAGAAACACACAATAAGATACGGCCAGTTTGGCTTCTAACACCACTATTACTAGAGTGTGCTGTACAAACCTCATTTCTACTAATTTCTGGAAGATGCATGGCTTTGGGATGGGAGGACATGGTGGGAGAAGAGAGTAAAATAAACTCCAGCACCTAGGTCTCCACTGATCTTTATTCTTTGTCTTCACCATATAGATTTTAAATGGCCATTTTAAGTGGTTGAGGTAGACGTGGACGCTGAATATGAAAAGCCATGCGAGGCAAACTGCGAAACAAAAGGCTTAGTGTTCTCAGATGATGAGGAGAATGATTTATGGGATTGCACATTCAAGATTAAAAGGCCCAAAAAGAAGGATCAACCCCTTGAGGTACTTCCATATTGGAAAAGATGCTGCACCTCAAAGGTTGCCTAAATTTCCAGGTCATTTCTCTTTGAAATGGTCACGCTGAGAGGGCAGCAGGGTGGGCTTAGCATGGATATTCTCTTCTTTCTACAGATGTGGAGCCTCCCGTCAGTGTTGATATTCTACATATGCAGGGAGAATAAATCACCAGGGTTTTGTAGATGGGCCAAAGCTGCAAAATTTGGATGCAGCTCTAAATCCAAGTGGTGGGGCATTTAGGTGTGGGGTTTTGGATACAGAACTCCATTTCATGTTTCATTTACTGAGGGGAAAATAATTACTCCTATATCTGAGAGGAAGGCATGAACGGATAGAAGGTTTTGAAACGGGGTGCAGATGGTATGGCACATCATCACATATAACACAACACAGTTTTTCTCCAGTTAAGAAGAAACTGGAAGCGTTACTAATATACTAGGGGCTTAGAGTGATATTATTCAATTTAAGATTGAAGCAAAAAACCCCAAGCATTATTGGAATTTGCCTTAATTTTCTATATCATATTTTACTATTTTTACTCAAATAAAGCAACCCTGAATATAAGACAGCCCCCCTTTAATTGGATTCTATATGTGAAAAATTGATAAGTTTACTAGAATTTTCCAGGTATAGAATTGAAGTATTGGAGGGCTGTCTTGAATCCCAACCCCTACCACTACAGCAGGGAAAGTGGTGACTTGGGGGGGGGTCAGGTGGCCCCCTTGCCCTATGCTCCACCCACTTCTTCCCCCGCATCCTTTCTGCCCCCCCACTTTCACCCCCAGCTACCCACAGCTTCTGCGCCTCCCCCAACCCTTGCCCCTTACTCTTAGCCCTTGCCTGGCCATGCAACTGTGATGGCACTGCTGACTCCCTAGGTAGAAAAGGAGTTTCCATGGGGAGAGGTTATTCTGCATGGCCTTGTAGTTAAGGCACAGTTGTGGGAGCTAGGTGTCTTGGACCCCAGTCCCAGCCCTGCCATAGCCACCCTCTTCTTTGGACAAGTCATTTCTCTGATCCCGTGAGCTCATCTAAACAAAACATCTCTGTATTAAAGTTTATTCATCTGTAGAAATGGGACAATAATTTGTCCCTTCCTTACAGGAAGCCAGATCATGGGAGGTTTGCGTAAAGATCTTGGGCAGGAAGGTGTTATTGAAATTACACATTCAAACATTAGCTGTTCATAATAAAAGGTCATATTCATTGCCCCACTGGCAATTAGGTTTCTGTTGTGGATGAAAATGAGGCATTGAATGTTGGTCCTGTGAGAGGCAGGAGGACAGTGGACTGGATTCATAGATGAGTGGTGAGTGAATGGTCAGATTTCTTCCTAGCTTAGGGTTATCTCCATCCATAGATGGACTGGATGAGTTAATGGTCTGATATGTTTCTAGCTTAGGGTTGTTTCAGTGTCTCAGGACACGAGCAGTGTGGTGAGGGACTGGGTTTGGTCTGGCCTGGCTCCAGTGAGAGTTATCAGAGGTATGCACTTTAAAGAGGGTGGCCCACCTGCTGCTGGTGGTCAGAGGCACTAAGTAGGTGGGGGCCCTCCTCGGGAAGAGGGCTGTCACCTGAAATGCTTAAAACTTTCCGCATTGCTATCATATTAGGCCTCCCCCGGCAAAAATAGAAGTTGGTGCTTATGCCAGTAGTGGGCAAATATCCATTGGACCCTGGAAACCATGCAACTCTTTTGACTTGGGATGCCATGCTCTGTTTCAGTCTAAACCTGAGGGGTTAACAGCAAAAGATGCCTCCCTGGGATTGTAGTTCTTTATTAAATAAAGGAAAAAGAAACCAACCCCCCCCTTTTCAAAAGCCAGACTTTCTCTGCCCGAGTTAAAAAGGCCACGTATTTCTCACTTCCCTCCTCTGGGTATCTGATGCCTTTGAAACCCAGAAGTGGATGTGAGAAGCAGTTGGCACTACAGAAGGAGCAGCTGAGGAGATACTTGAGATGCAACACTTTGAAGTGTCAGCGCTGCTGTGTTAACTCACGATTCCTTGGCTGGAAAGGTTTAAACAGCTAACATAGCAGAAGCGGGGATGTCTCCGCAGATTTGGAAATGTGTCTGATCCAGATCGGTTGGAGGTAATTGTCATCTAATGGACAAGAGAAGTTATCTACTAGATTGTCATCACGTAAAAAGGAAGGATAGTTCAATAAAGAGGGTGTTTACCTAGGACTTGGAAGACACAAGTTTAGTTCCAAGACAACTTTGGGCAAGTGATTTTGAATTCATCACAAGGGAATTCAGTGACTAATTTGAGTGTGTAGATCCTCAGACTCTTCTCTCAGCTGCCACCTAACTCTGGAGTGGGCAACTCAGTTCCTCAGTTTCTTTGCCTGGACACTGCCTAGCTCACACCTAAGCCCCTTTGAGGTTCACAGACTAGGTGTTGTCCTACCTGTCTGGCCTGAAGCATCAACCCAGTAGACATCCTATGAACATGCCTACCAAAGCAGGCCTGACACAAAAGGCAGCTTCTTGTGATACCAACCATTGTGCCCAGGGATTGGGGCATTCACCTGGTATGGGAGAGAAGTCAGGGTTAAGCCTCTGCTCTGATTAATATTTATGTATTCAAAACCCCACATGGCAGATGTGCCCCTGTATGGAGAGTTTGCTGCACACAGTAGCTCAGGTCATTCCAACACTTTCTATTTTTACAGATTCTTGGAGTGATTCCCTTTGTGAGTCCTACAAATCACAATCAGGTCTGGCTGTAGAGCTGGCTGGTGAACAGGCACAATTCACCGATCAGCAGTGCGTAGCTGTTTGGCATGCAGCTCCCATGCTTTTTGAGCCTCTTAGCCTGTTCACCATCTGGGAACGGGGTTTGCCAGACCTCAGGAGTAAAGTGATTTTGCTGGGTTAATCTGACATGTGCCACTTAGGAGTCTGACTAGCTCTGCCCAGCTGAGCCACCTGCGAGTCACACTGTGAGCTGTCTGCTTCTCCATCACTTGTTATTGCCTGAGGACTGTTGTGAAGGCATCTGAATTGGGTGGAATTGCAGTGATGCTGTTACCAAATTGTTTCAGAAGTAGCGTGTCCAGCCTTTGCCCAGGCAAGGAAGCTGCACGGGCAACTCGGTAGGAGTTCACAGGCTTCATTCGGCTGGCACAAAATGAACGAGAACCCACTTTTCAAGGAGAGGCTGTCTGTGGGGACCACAGGTCCCAGAATGGCCAAGCTGAATGGTCTTTAGGCGTGGTGGGGTCCCTTGGGGTGTTTGACATTTCAGAGTCAGGTGGGGAGTGCAAAGCTGGCTTTCTGCCACCAATTTTGCTTTCTTGTTCATCAGGGGCATAATTTAGAGCTGCCTCAGGGCTGCTGTATATTGCATCTGCTTGTAATGTCTCCTGAGAGGCCATTACAACCATTAGGGATGGTTGGAGTGCCGTGCTCTCCAGCAGTGCCTCTTCCTGGATGTGGCCTTCTAGGCCAGCGGCACCAGCGGGGTGGTGTAGAACTGGCTAAAATGCTTGAAGCCACACAAGGTGTTTCTCATGCTGGGAATTCCCAGATGTTTACTTATGGGAGCTTTAAATGGGGATCTGGAGGACCTAGGATCTGTTCTTTTGTCTGGTCCTTCATTTCTAAAACAGGAATATTACCTACTGTCCAGGGGCATCATGGGGATGAGTGAGTTCATATATGGGCAGTGTTCTAGAGATGCAAAAAAATAACACATTTCCTCTGTTTCAGTGAAACTTCTGCTTTCCCACAGGCACCGCCTAGGATCCTTAGACCTCGTTTCAGGAAGAAAAGTACCTCATCCTCTACCACTGAAACGATGTGAGTGTGATGAGCCAACAGCACCAAGATCCACAGAATGTCTTTCTTCTGCCTTAAAGAGCTACTCGTTAATACCATGGAAAACAGCAGCGAGATGGGTGTGCTTTGCTGTGCAGCGTTGTAGACATGGCCTTTCTCCCTTCTCTTTTCTTTCCCTTAAGCCACATGCTACTTGCATTTACCTGCCTCATGATTAGAACAATTAGGCAGCCACTGTGTAGGTCCCTCTGTTTCAATTGCAGAACGTGAAACTATTTAAGCTAACTCTGTAAGGCCGTACATTTATCCTTCTGAGTTGTGTTTGCATAGTTTTAGCTCTGGGAATGCAAAGGAAAAAAATACTCAATTGCACTTGATGCTATTATGGCTAATGTATTTATTTATGGCTTTACCATTCATCAGTTGGACTTGCAAGAGCCACAGCGTTTTCTTTCTTCCCTTCCTCCACAAGACTGCGAATGATGTCAGAAATGCTGAATTCTTTTGACTGTACAGAATGTCCGAGACTCATTAGCAAAGCCTGAGCTGCAACTCCATTTCTTTTCTAGCAAGTAAATTATGTGCGCTCCAGTCAAGTCATTGTGCTAATGCCATAGAGACACAAGGACTTAGAGATGATGAGGAAGAGATGCATGCAAGCAAATGGAACTAATTTCACAAGCCAGAGACAGAGGCGTCTTCATTGTGATAAACCTGAGCCAGAAGAAAAGAAAGGGATATCTTGTATGGAAACTGAAGGAGGCTAAAATTCTGTTGTAGAGCTCTTGGCAAATCTTTGGCTAGCAGTTGTACGATCCCTGCAAGCTGTGTTTGTTATAACTGCTGCAGTGTAAACCAGAATTGCTTTAGCAATGGATTTTCATAGGGGCAAAATTCACCCCTCTCGCCAGCTTGCCTGACCTCAGTTCTGGCGTTCTGCTTTGCCAGCCTGAATGCAGGAATTTCCATTCCCAGGCAGAGCAGAGCCTTGGATCTGAGCTTCCCTGCGTGAGTTGGGGAAGATTTTGCCTTTTGCATGGATTCTGGTTTGAAGTGCAAGAGTCTGTAGTATCCACATTTAAATGATAAATATGTAAGAACGGGAAAAAGTTGTAGGATTTGTGTATTTGTGCTTAAAGTGGGTGTCTCCTGTGAGTGTAAAGCATGTGAAATTCACCAATAAGTCAATTATGTGACTTTTGTGTTTGCTCTTGGACTAGACTAGAAAAACATTTAGTATCATGTAGAAGTCACCATCGATAATTGATCAGTGAACAAACTCAGTTAAGACTAGTATCATTGACCCTAGTTCAGGTTCAGAATTAGTTCAGGATGCCAACAACTGTGTGAAGAAGGATGAGAGAGAAGTATATCTGAGGTGGCCTTTTGAAATTCTCTGTCAGACATGCATTCATGTTCTAGGCTTCTAACTCAGCTTAAGGTAATGCCAGAGGTTCCTTGAATATTTGGGAAGTAAACATTAAAATGCCTGCACCCAGATGTGTACATCATGCTGGCCAGGAAGTAGAAAGGACAAAAGGGCATTTTCTGTGACTGTCATCATAAGACTGGCTACCTGAAAAACGTATTTTCCTTATCTGCACTGAGTTGTTCATGCTCTGTAAAGGATTTGTGCTCAAAAAAGGCATTAAATGTATATTTGAGAAAGGAGTCAGTCATGAGAACCTGCTGGGCAATATGCTGCGAGGAGCTTGGCTTGCATATTTAATTTAAGCAGCTTTCATAGGCAATTAGATTTTTTTTGGCCAGATTTAGAAAATAAGAGACAGTGCCTGCAGTGTTAGCAGAAACAAGAGTTCCTGTTGCAAGCTAGCTTCCATTTTTGCTACTATGCAAGAGGATGCCATAAGATAAAAGGACAAGTTTGCACTCAGTTATGCCAAAAAGAAAAGAATCAAGCCACACGATGCTGGACAGACTCTGCTCTCAGATAGGCTGTATTCATGCTCATTCTTGCTCCGATTATTACATGTGCGTCTGATCTGCTGTTTTACTGTAAACTTGACTGTTTAGATTTTCTTAAGTGCTGAGGTGAAATTGTTGACAAGGGAGTTGCCTTATCTCTCGAAGACATTCACTGTATCTTTTCATATCTCTGGCAAAAATGTGTTAATTTATCAAATCAAGCTGTATATTTGTGTATAGATAGACAGGAAATGCGAATGCCCATACACGTATGCTTAGTGGTATAGTGTTCTATACACAGAATAGACAGACCATCTGCCTCAAGTTGGTCATGTTACCGACACAGGTTGTTTACAAGCTGCACCTCTAAAGTTGTCATTTTAATTTACAAGAGGAATACCAGAAACCGACCCTTTGGTCCAAAATGTTCTCTAAAGTGTCTCCCCTCAGGAACAACCCTGAGTCAGCAACTGAAACCACATGAGGTCTGGTGCTCCCCCCTACTGGTAGATAATGGCAAATCATGGTTTTGCAGCCACTGAGCTAATTAGGGCACTCAGACAAAAGTTAAGGAGAAAGCTGTGATTCTTAATTAGCTGAGACTGTGAGATAGCAGGTTGAAGTAACAGCTTGTAGCTCCCTTTGGTTCATATAAAAGTCAGCACGACCACACTCACTGGATCACTGGCTACTCCAGAAGGCATCTTAGGGCCCAGGGGAAAGAATCCAGTGTATAAGGGGTCTCCAGCAGATGATGGGCAGTCTAATCATGCAGGAAACAGAGAGGTGCCCTTAAAATCCTAGGCAGGTGGCCTAGGGAATGTGACCCTCCTGGAAGGAATAGCTAGGCTCCTGCAAACAAACCCTTGGGCCAGGGGTGAAGGATGTGATTGATAGCTGGAGCTTGTGTTGCTTTGAAGAGACTGAAGCTCTGACAAAAGGAACTGAAATCTCACATCTAGTTTTCTGTGCTGCATGGGTGGGTGAGTTGAGCCATCAGCTTACACAGGGACACCTCACTTAGAAATGGGCTAAACTATGAGCACAGCTCAGAGCAACCCCCTTGGTCTCCACTCATGAGTCAGCACCAATGCAGCTATAATGACTGCTGGTTGCCAGGATTATTCCCACCTCTGGGCAAGACCTCATTTATACCAATATAAACTGGGAGTAACCAAAGCCAAGAGTAACCCGAATGCAAATCTAATACACCAGAGCAGAGAATCAGGCCATCTGTTTCTAATGACCAGGAAGGAATGAGCTTGCTGATGAAAAACAAGGGAAGAAAGCTAAATAGTGAGATGCGACTGTCCCTGGCAACTTGTAAACAGCCCATTGTCTCTGACTGTGCCCCATGGAATAAGCGTGTTCTCATACAGTAACAAACTCTTTATCTGTGCACAAATGCTTGTTAATCAGTCTCCTTCTGCTGTTTATTCATTTCAGGTACCTGTCTAGCACCTAGCACAGTATTTGAGATTGTAAAGAACACTATGCGTACTCTTGAGGTTTGCATTTAAACAAATGGCTACTACACTTAAGGATCATAAGTGTGCACTTCATGTTGTTTCTTTTTGTGATCAATAAAAAATGATCTGTGATAGGATAGTTCATTTCACAATGCTTCACAAGGATGGATGTTACCACAGTATTCCAAAGCTGACGTTCTTGCTGGTTTTATTATATTGCTTGATATACATCTTGAATAAAGTCTTAATTTTTTCTTTACAAAAAAATTAAAAGGAAGAAAGCATCTTCAGTCTGTTCAACGTATCTGGCAGGCCAGAATACCTTTTGTTACCTTGATTACTGTATTATTTTGTTGTCCTCATTCTGGCTCACTGTATATAGTTGTATTCACTAAGTGCTGCATGTCTTTCAGAACCCCTCAATGTATTATCGACTGGAAAAAAAATACAGCTACTGAACATCACGTGTTACCAGTGAATTCATTGGATTGCTACAGCTTTAAACTAAATCATGTCTTGTTAAACAAATGGCAACAGAGTCTACAGTAAAGAGTTAAGCGTTAGATAACCATTTGAAGCCGCTTTTATAATATGACTGAAATTGATTCTTGCTACAGGGTGTTAAGTCTATTAAGCGTCGTTGCTTGGTGAAGGCAGAAACAACTAGCATCTTAAATTGCAAAAAGTCAATCAATCACACATGTTGCTTTATGTAAAAACATGCTCAGAGGTACAGTAGAATATTATCATAAATATAAAATATGACTGGGGTGAAATATAACCAGGCTTTAGGAAAGAATTGGTAAGTGAGGAATTATTTATTTATAAACTGAATATTTGAGACTGTGGATTAAGATTCAGTCTGCTTTATCATTTGAAAGCAATAGGAATTGGAACATTTCAGACTGGCAGTAAGGCAAATTATAATTATATGCCAACACCTTTGGAATGCCCTTTCCTTCAGTGCTCTCCCAGAGATGCTGTTTCGGCCCTATCCTGTATCACGGGGCAATATCATGGAAAGAGCAACAGCTGATGGAGAAAAAAACAACTCCATTTACTGAGAAAGCAGTAGATTCTGAGACAGCAACAGTTATGTTTAAAATGGCTTTAAAGGCATTCCCATTTGATGCGTTTTCCAGTACAATTTACCTGTTATTAAGTTTTTTCTTTAAGCAGTGTTTGCATGCACATGGATATCCCAAACACTTACAGCCTCTCCCCAAGATGGCTCTGGATGAGCATTTCCCTTTCTTTCCCCCTGCTCCGACTCCCACTGAAACACCACAACTGAGCATTTGAGTCAGGATCTTAAATAATGGTTTATTGTGGGGGTTTGGACCAAAATTTCCTACCAGCTGCCATATTTGCAGGTGTATGTGGGAAAGTGATAAGCCTTTCCAAGTTTGCCCACAGAAATGCCGAGAAGGATTCCAAACACATCTAGTAAAGCACTTGCCAGAAGGAAAAAACAAGAGAGAGACCTTCTATACTTCAAGGTTTGTACGATCGTGATACTTCTGGAAGGGATCGTTGACATACCAATTTCTTCTCTTCCAGAAAGCAGTAGTCATTTTATCGAGGAGTTTGCTTTGGGTTTTATTACAGAACACATGTTCCTTCAGTGGCTTTTTCCTGGCAGCCGACTTTTTCCATAATTTCTTCTTATAGCCAGCCTGTTAGAAGACATAGTAAAGATTTTCAAATTACGTTATTACTGATAAATACCCAGTGACAACGGCAACCTGGTGCCACAACAATTCCCCCTGCCCTGAGCCATTTTGCATCTTCTACCCTGGGTGGTCTTCAACTTTTTTTCTCCCAGACTTGCTACTGGCTCCTCAAGGAAGGCAGCCAGCAAAGGCAACAGTTATATAAACAGGACATTACCCTTCTCCTTAACCAAAGTCCACAGTGCAGTCGGAAAAACCTCTCGACAACAGCCTTGACAGATTTTCTCTTTCCTTTCCGCAAGCTAAAGTATGTCAGAGTCCTCACTGGCTGCTGAAGGAGACTTGGGAGCAAGGGTGTTATCCTGGAATGGAAAAAATAAAAGCTTTTAACCAAAACGGAACACTCTCTCCATTTCCCAGAGCTCAGGATCTCATTAATGCCAACCAAACATCGAGAGGGGCTTTATAGGACTTCCCCTGGTTTCAGGAAGTTTTGGAGAAAATTGCTGTAATGTTTCAATATATGTTTGGGCTGGTGTCTCGCTATGGCTCTGGGGGAATGAGACCAAGTCCTACTCTGGGCTTATGCCAAAGGCTACCCACAGTCAACCCAGCCACAAACAGTACCAAACTGGGGAGTCAGAGGTGGCCAAATACTGACTGCATCACTCTGTGCAGTTGGTTAAGAAACTTCTGTGCCTTAACCACACTAGCCCAATGGCCTGTGCGGCCCACACAGACCTTCCTTCCTTTGGATCAATATTTGCACACACGCTTTTGGGCAAATGCCTGGTTGAAATTAATTTTTACAACATCGTTGTTCTGGGCAGGGCAGCTCATAACATTTAAAAAAGAAAGCAGAGTAAGTCAGGGCTAGTAAGGCATGAGTTGTTTCAGGGGAACATTTTGGCTGAAATGAATAGCATTACTTTTTGAATCAAGTTTACTGCAGCAGTGAGCTGAGCTCCCACGTATGGTTCACTGTGCAGCCTCGCTCAAGGACCCTGGTGTGGAAAACAGGGTTAAAAATTGCAATTGATCACTCTTGCAATTCGGAGCAAGAGAACCACCCCAGCTAGCATGGAGGGAGCCGCTTCCTTTTAGAACAATGAAAAAAGACGTAACATCTGGGGAGGACTCGGGTTCAACTCCAATCCCCCTCTTCCAGCTCTGCTTTCACTAGCTTTTTCCCCTGACATTTCTGCTCCAGCACTGGTTTCACTTCCCTTGGCAGGTACTATGGCCATTAACAGCTCAATAGTGATTTATTCCATGCTGAAAGGATGAGCACAGTGTGGAGGACCTGAAGGAAAAGGTAACGCAAGGTGCTTGTACTGCAGCGGGATCATTGCAAGCAATCAGCCACGTTCCACACGTTTGATGCCTTTTCCTATGGGTTTATTTATTTATTTTTTAGGCTCTATAAAAAACCACATAACCTGCTCTATAAAACAGACCGTACCTGCTCACCAGGGAGGCACGTGGCAGGTTACCCGCAGAGGGCAGGGCTTTTGCAGCAGAGCAAATTGCGGGTGCCTGCCCATAGCCAAACAGTCGGATAGACAGTCCGGAGACCAGACGGACACCGCGGGAGCCGTTGTTGATCAGAGGGACGAGAGGTCTGAAAACCCCTGTGGGGAGAGCAGACAACACCGGGAAGTTTAGTTATAGGACAGCTGCGGGCGTGCCGAAACCACCTCTCAGACCGTGCTGCTGTACGCAGCGACGGCTGGTTACAGACCTGCTCGAGCTGGCTCGGCCACTTTTCACAAACCCAACAGTGGGCAAAGCCTCCCTGAAATCCAATGGGGACGGGAAACATAGCCGGACATTTCCCCTGCTCCGGGATATTTAGCTTTCCTTGGTCCCCTTCATGGGGTTTTCCGGGCACATATTCCACTCACTACTTCCCCAAATGACATCCTGCCAGCTGCCCCCCCAGCTTCTACCTGCGCCACTCGCACGGCAGCGAGGCTCGAGCCGGGCGGCCTGGGGGCTTGTCACGGGCGCCGCGCGGGGGGTGGGGGACGCGGCGCGACGGGGCCCGGACACATTCGGGGACTCCGGGCCGAGCGGAGCGGGCGCAGGGGGACGGGCCGGGCCTTTCCCTTCGCTCCGAGCGACACAAGCGGGGAGGGCCGGGGCCCGCCGGCCCGAGAGGGGCCCCACAACCGCCCCCGCCCGCGGCCTCTCCCTGTACTGACCCGACACACTGCGCAGCACCCTGGCGGCCGCCATCTTGGCGCCACGGGTTACGGCGGCCGCGAGGGACACAAAGAGGCGAGGAGCGACGGCCCTGCTCAGCTGCTGCCGCCAACGCCGGGCGGTGGGAATGCAAGGGCGGCCCCGAGGGCGCTCCCTCCTGCCCTGGTCTTCCGAAACCCCGACCTGCAGGGTCGGGCCCTGGGAGCTGGACCAGACCCATATTTTATTTTATTTTATTTAAAGGAATTGCTCCTGGTCCCAGCTAAGTCAAGTCCAAATCTGTGAGTCACTTCAGAACCATAAGCAGCCCTACAACTGGCAAACATCCTCCACCCTCATCAGGGGCATCAGATATTTCCAAATACTTTGGCGGGCATCCTAGTGCAGGTCCAAGCCCAGAGCCTCGGCAGGGGGTGGATGCCCCCAAGTTTCGCCAGCCCTTGGCCATGTGGCTGCAGGAGCAAGCTAGGGAGAAGCTTCCCTTTTCCATAAGATGGGCATTAAGCCCCAACACGTTGGCAGGTACTAAAGCATGCTGCCAGAAAAAGTTACCCCTGGGGAGGCTAAAGGAAAACGGCCTTCTTGGACCCAGATACATGGTGTTTCCCTTGCCAGGTAAGTATGGACCAGTTCCATGTGTCGATCTGGGGGTCTGATGTGGCCGCAGGCCGGGCTCCCTGTGCTGCCTGACCCAGCAGGCAGGACCAGCTGGCGCAGCACTGCGTGGAGGATGGGACCTGTGCGTGCAGCTGGCCCGGCCCTGCGCACTGCAACTGTCTGTACTTGCACAGTACAAAGTCTAGATCCCAGTGCATCTCCAGACCTTATCTAATACTTATACTGCAGGAAGGAAAGTGACTCAGGAAACAAGCAGAAAAATGCTACAAATATGCCATGCGCATATTGGGGCTGTGCCTCCCCAGCAGGCAAGTCCCACCTGGCTGGGGCCCCACTCAACTTACCCCTGCTTCTGCCTCTGCAGCACTGTCCCTCACCGTGGGGACCTCGATCTAGCCCCCGTCCCTTCCCTCCCCCGTGGACTGACCTGCTGGGCTGGGGCGTGCACGTGCATGCATAGGGGCACTCAGTCCTCCACCCCATCCTTGGATCGACTCCAAGAGGCTTTGATATCTCAGGTTGGTGACTACTCAGCTAGATAATCCAGTCCTTGCGTAAAGGGCATGAGCACACCTGCAAGTTACCCCAAGGTTGGGTTTTATCACATGCCAACAACTTTGCAGTAACTGCCCCTGTGTCTCCTCTTTCCGGAGGCTCAGCCCTCTTTCATGCCTGGCTCAGCTGCTGTGGATTCTCTTGCACTTACTATGGACTAAGAGCACACACGCAGGTAGTTTCCAAGAAACACCTGATGCAAGGGAATGCCTCAGTCTCCTTTCCCCTCAGAGGCTTGTCGGTGTTTCTGTGCCTTTGGGCTCAAATGAGAGAAGAGCAAGTTCATCCCAAAATGAAGCAGACTAAATGTTATAAACACAGAGCAGCTCAAGGGCATAGTCAACCTGCAAAGAATAACAGTATTGCCAAAAAGAGCACAAGGTTTATTTTCTCCAGGTCTGTAATTATGAAGCAGTTTGTTCTCCCAGTCCCCAATACCCAGCTACCACTCCTGCTCAGACAGGCATTGCTTTTACTCTACCTTCAGACAGATGCCCCATCTCACCTCTTTTCACTTCTCACCCAAACACAAGTGCCTCTGCTGAATCCACAGTCTGCTGGACCTAGTGCAGAGAAGCACCTTCCTTGAATCATAGAGAAACATATAGAAGTTGGGTTGGAAGGGACCTCCAGAGGTCATCTAGTCTAGTCCAACCCCCTGCCTGAAATGGGATCATCCCTATCCAAACCATTCCATAAACACCATAATCTAAACGCAACATAAGACTATCATCAACCCGGACACAACACAGACCTAGCACCCTAATCTGCCATGGGTAAAGCAGAGGAGCCAAGGCAGCCAACATCTTGTTCCTATGAAATTTTGTCAGTAAATAGCCAAGAGATTCTGGGTAGAGGGCCATGTCCCTGGTTATGAAGGAAGGCAAAACCCCCACAGTCCAGACCAATCTGAACATGAGGTAAAATTAATTCCTAGCCCCAAATATGGCAATTTGTCTGGCCCTGAGCAAGATGGGCAAAGCCTTCTAGCCAGGAACCGCTGGTTCTTTGCAGAAGCATTGGCACATACTAGTCAAAGTCCCCAGTCTTAGCTGTAGCCCACATCCAATGCATCTAAGGAAGGCTTAAACACACTGACATGTGTAGCAGAACAGAGGAGAAAGGGGCAGGGGCAATCAGCAAAGCCCAAATGCATTAGAAATACCCACCAACCAGTGCTGCCCAATCTCCTCTTGAACACCTCCAGCGATGGAGAGCCCACAACGTCCCTGGGCAGTCAGTCTATTCCACTGCCTCCCTGTTCTAACAGCAAAGAAGTTTTTTCCCAGCCATGCCCTATCTGACCACAGGGTAAAATTCCTTCCTGACCCCAAATGTGGCAATCAGCCTGACCCTAAGCAGAGAGGCAAGCCCCCCTAGCTAGGAACCTCCAGTCCTTTGGTCCCAGCAGGAGCACTGGCATACCCCGAAGTCCTCAGCTTTGGCTGTAACCAGCACTCAATGCTTTTAAGCTTTCTTCCATGTAGCAGGGAGGGGGTGGAGGAATCTGCAAAGCCCAGAACCATGGGAAATACCCATAGTTCACCACAGGCATCGCTATGCCTAGATCGTCCCTGGCCAGTGGCTGCCCAGACTCTTCTCAAACACCTCCAGCGATGGAGTCTATTCCATTGCCTCACTAGTCTAGTGGTGAAAACGTCTGTCTGGACATCCAATCTAACACTGCTTTGCTGCAATATCAAGCCGTTAGTCCACGTCTTCCTCTCTGCAGTGACAGAAAACGTGTGTTCCCTCTTCTCTACGGCAGCCCTTCAAATATTTGAAGACTCCTATCCTATCCCCTCTGAAACACCTTTTCCTCAAGCTGAACAGGTGTCGCTCCTCCAGCCCCTCCTCACGATATTGCTTTCCAAGCCCTTGACAATACCCGTTGCCCCCTGCGGACCTTCATCATCCAAGTGAGAACTACTGCTGCAGCCAAGACCAGAGCCCCCTCGTTATCATTTACGTCGCGCAAGCATCTTGTGCCCCAACTCAATCCCCGTAAGGACAACGTGCAAGGCGGCACCTGCCTGTTGGAGCCGACCATCCCTCCAGGGAGATGGGTAACCGCCATGGCATTATACCCAGGGCTCAAATTACATTTTGACTCTTGTGGGGGAGGTCTGCAAAAAAAAATGACACCAGTTCATTGATTAACGAGTCTACCTAAGTGAAGCAACAATGTGATCGGAGACCCCTCAGGTTATGATTTTCAAATCTTACAGGAGGGCTCTTATGGGAGAGGCTCAGCCCCCCCCCCCCCTTAATTTGCACCCTGG